TCTACAGCTAAGATGGTGAACAACAGCTCGACCTGGAGCTGGGCTGCCGTGAGTCGCCGGGGATAACGGCATAGGCTGCAGCCCCTGCTGCAGTGGGCTACCATAAGCTACCATGTGTGGCTGGCAGCCGGTGTGAGTTGCCAAGAGCCGCTGTGAGTGACCGTCCCAAGGTCGGTGACCAATCTGCCTCACCCGGGAAGAGCGCAATGATAATACCAACATGGGCCAGTGAAGCGACGTCCTCCACAACTAGACTGAAGAACAAAACGACAGGAACTTGTCTGTTCCCCTTCCCCCGATCCCCCAGCGCTGTTCCCCTCCCTCAATTTCCCAATAAGATCTTTAAAAAAAAAAAGAAAAAGAACTTCAATGAGACAGAACTGAGTTTGGAAACCTCTTGTCCACACTGACTCAATGTTGAACACTGTCAATTCAAATTACTAACCCATCTATTGTCCTGTCATTATCATCAGTTCATGTTACACCATTTTATTCTCAAGGACATTTTGAGAAACTATCAAATGCCATGGTGAGGTACACATGTTTATTGCCTTCTGAGGTCTCTTGGAGGCAGCTCAACAAGCAGGCAGGCATCCTCCAGAGCAGCTGAAGCACAAGTGGCCCATGTGATTGCCAATTTGGATACATACCACATGTATTAGGCCACTATGCACAGATGTATTAAAGTATAGTTTCAAATATTAGCCACAACTCAAAAGTCAGAAAGGAATCTCCAAATTGCAGTTATTGATTGTGACAGAACTGATTCTAACATATTAATTTTTATGCACGTGTTCCAGGGTGAATAGCAGCAGAGATGTATCCATTTAACAAAAGCTTATGTGTCTCCAGCAGAGACGTATCCATTTAACAAAAGCTTATATGTCTCCTCAACAACCCCCAGGAGGCCAGCTAGTATATACTTTTGTTATAAAATCTCTATAATAGACTGGTATAGTTTAACAGACTCAGGGGAAGCAGAATAGTAAACTGTGTAAGTGCACACTCTAGAGTCTCAGAAGTGAGTTCAAGTTTTGACTCTCACTTAATAGCTGTGTAACCCTGGAAAATTACTAAACCTCTTTTAGCTTATTTCCTTATCTTTAAACTTGGGAAGATAACAACAGTACTAATAGGGTTGTTATAAAAATTGAACATAACCATGAATACATTAGCTGTTACTGTTATCCCAATCTAACAAAGAAAGTAATTTAGTCTGGGAAGACAATCTTACAAAATCCACCTAGGGCCAAGTAATCATCTTTTACTTGCTTTCATGCTCATCAACAATTCTTTCAATAATAAATTATAGACTCTTTCCCGAAATTACCTTAAGTTTGCTAACCTAAACATTGGGCCAAGAAGTTCTGAAGTTGGATTTTGAAAGTACTGTCTTAGGGAGCTCAAATCTGTGCTCAGATACCTCAATACAGCTGGAGCTATACATGCCTCAATACATATCCATTTAATAACGTTGCCCACATGTGTCAGGGCAAACGACTGCTTATTTGAGGGTGGCTTACCCAAACTTTTAAGTTTGTTGGGTTAGAGTAGCTTTTACCAAGGGTTTTGACCCATCATCAAAGTGTCTAAAGCTTAGGTTGGCATATACACCACCTAATGGAGCTGTTGTTTGGGGTGGCTTCAGTCTCATGTCTTCCAAATCATGCTTCTCCATTCTGTTTTTAGAAAATTGCTTTTCTCCTAAGTTTCCTAACAGACTTCTGGGAAGATGGTAGCATTAGAACAGGTCCCCAATTCTGTCCTTTCTCCCACAGATAAACACAAATTACCAAAGGGAAACAAAAATTGAGCAAAATCTGTACAATGAGGGTGGGAGAACTCAAGGAATTTCTGTAAAACATGATGCTGATGGGGGCATACTGAAGCTTGTCACCAATCTGAAGTTCTGTGATATACTGACAAACCAACAAAATCCTGGCAGAAAACCTCTAATGCCATCTAGTTTAAAAGAGCAAGGACTGGAAGTAGGGGCACGCAGTGAAAAAACGGGGATGAGAACCTGTCATTAGTTGAGGGAAGCCTGAGTAACTTCCATTTTTATTTAAGCCTCCAAGTATATTTTTAAAATAATGCCAAATTAGGAATATCAAAATTGTCAGTTTAAAATTTTTACATTTACTAAATTAAGCTGTATGATGAGCATTATCCATTGAGTGAGTCTGGATCTGTAGCTGGAGTAATCAATTCATTTGAGGATAATGTCACAATTCTAAATTTGAATCCCTTTGTGAACATGAGACACAGGCCAAATGGCTTCCCTGATACCTTAACCCCAACCTCTCACTAGAATTACTTCATTTGTTGTTATTCTGACACTGCAGATCAACAAAATTTGGAATAGGTTGACTACTCTCTGAGGGCAAGCTCAGTGTCTCTGATCGTGGTTTCTCAATAAACACGGTGATCTCAACCTGATATGAGTCCTCTTTAATGAGCCAGCAGGGCTTGTTTCAAAGTTATATATCCTATCTCCCCACCATCACGCACCCATGCAAGTGATGAGAGTGTATATGATACAAACCACATACCTGAAGGACAGGCCAATAGAGCAAATCAGAAAAGCCATCTTGAGGTGAACTTCTCCTGCTGGGGTTGTCCCTAACCCCCACTCCTTCCCTAGTACCTCATCCTGCTGCATCACAGCACCAGTAATATAAACTTATACCATCCAGCAGTCCAGTGTAAGCTTAGGGAGGGGATGAAAACCAAGTAAACAGTGAAAGCATGTAAGAATTGCCCCACTCTTATTGGAGGGGAAGAGATGGCAGGTCGAGCTGTACAATTCTTGATTCAATGTGGAAAAAAATGATAAAATGTGAATTAATTATAGATAAAGAAAACCCAAAATAAAAACAGAGCCTGGAAATAGAACTTGCAAAATAAAATAGGAAAAAGTTACATCATATAAGAGATGGAGGAAGAACAGTTAAAATAAAAAAAGCGTAAAAGTTATAAACAAAAACTAATAAACTAGAAAGCAAAAAAAAAATACAGAATTAATAAAGACCTGGATCTTTTCAGGGAGGAAACAAAATGTATAAATTAGTAGTCACAATATAGTCACGGGGATAGGAAATACAGTTTGGGGAATATAATCAATAATATTGTAAAGATCATGTAGGGTGCCAGATGGACACTGGACTTATCAGGGGGAATCACTTCATAGACTGTGTAGATGCCTGACCACTGTGCTATACCCCTGAAGCTGAAGCTGAATAATATTGAATGTCAACTATAATTAAAACACACACACACACACACACACACACACACAATCTCATCACGGGATGTAAAGTACAGCATAGGGAAGACAGTCAATGGTATAGTAACAGCTATATACCATGTCAGAGGGATATTAGATTGGGTGGGGTTATCACTTTGTGAGGGGTGTAAATGTCTATTACATTGCTTTGTACACCTGAAACTAATAAAAAATAAATAAAAAAGAGGAAAAATAATATAATAAATATTTAGCAAGAGCAATTAAGGAATTTTGTGTTCCTTCAATGTTTGAAAGAAATTTACCTGCCAAACTGTCTAAGCTAGGCCTCAGCCAACATCCAGTTTTTCCTGTGGCTACTGAATTATTACTATTTTCTATGCCACTGGCTTATTTTAGTATTTATTTCCCTATAAAACCATCCATGTTATTCATTAAAATTCTTAAATTTTTTTGGCAGACTTTGTCTTTGTAATTATTGCAAACACCCAGCATCATATAGCAGTGAAATAATAAATCACTATTTCTTAATTTGGTGTCCTGAGGAGCACTGACAGGCCAAATGTTATCAGGTGTGTTTAGAAGAAAAAAGGTGGCTCTTCAAAGTTTAAGAAGTGCTGAATTAAACAGTTAAACAGCTTTTATTCTTTAAACTGAAGAATATACTTATTAAAATTTTAATAATGTTAGTCAATATTTACTGCACAATGACTCTTCAAGAGGAACTATAGTATACAACATTTTGCAAACTTATTTGAACATCTCCCAGAGGAATGTTTTTTTCAAGAGTGCAATTTAAAATTGCTGCAGCAAACATAGTCTGGTTAAAATGAAAAGCAAGATAAGAATGCCACTGCTACTTCAATTATTTAGTGCTGTTCTAGAAGTGTTTAACCCATGCAGTCAGAAACTGTTATAAATTTTGAAAAGCACATGTTATAACTTATCTTTGATATAATCACATACCAGGAAAAACTCAAATATATCAATTGAACATCTCTGAAGCAGGTTTCAGTAAATTGCCAATTGAAAATTATTCTATGAAAATACATTCTTCCACTATATAGGAAAAATGACCACATAGGTAACAAACTGAATAAGAGCTCCCATTCACAGTATTTTGTCCTATATGTCTATATTACCTAGGAATACATTTATCACAAATTATACAGGACTTAAATAAACAAAACTCCCTTAAAGGATGGAAAAAGCATTTTTAAAATGAGACATGTTTCTGGAAAGCATTGCAATTCTGTAGTTCTCACTATCATCAATTTAAGATAGTCCCAAACAAATTCCCACTTACTTTTAGGGGAAACCAATTAACTGTAAAGTTCATCTGGTAAAATAAATGTCAGAATCATCAGAATATTGTGAAAAATAAAGAAGATCAATAGGAGGACTTACCCTAAAAGATATGAAATCATATTTGTAACTCAATAACTACAGGCTGGTATACTGGGGCTACAATGCTCAGCAGTACTAAAGAGAATTCAAAAACAGAATAAAGTTTATATATGCATGACACTTCAAATGGACAGTGGGTACACAAACAGATAAATACTGGCTAACAACTGGAGGAAACAAGTTAGAATACCTAAAATCCATACATCAAAATAATTGAAGAAGAACAAAGAAAATTTTTATGAAAACCATTAAAATTAGAGAAATATAGGGTAAGATTTCTATAATCTTAGGGTGGAGCAATCCTTCTAAACATGATCCTTGGGCCAGAAGGCAAAAAGGAAAAGATTTATCCATTTTTTATTATTTTTTTATTTTTTTAGTCATTTTCAATGCATTTTCCCCTGTGCATAAGAGAAATAACTGATAAGAGTCAAAAGATACAGTTTCCTTTATACATAGCAGTTAAAAGTAATGCAAACATCACATGACACTTTCAGTGAAAGTTACATTTCTAATTACAAATGAAAATGTGTATTATTAGGGTCTCTTTATGAGAGAAGCTGAGAAAGAAGTCTTAGGTAAAAAGCACTTTCCTGGCATTACTACACTGATCCTTCAGGCTGCACAAAGATTAAGGTCATATACAGTCAATCAGCAAATGTTGACACAATTTCACACAGTAAAGTTTTCTGTACAATTAAATGTATACTTAGAAATACCAGGATAAACATTTCTACTATATTTTAACTGAACTTGCCTAGCCAACATTTTCACTGAGTTGATCAAAGATGCTGTAAGATTCTACAAAACTGTGACATACCTAGCTCCAGAAATATTTCTTATATTCTCTCATTTTGATTACACATATTCTGCTCAGAAATTCTGTTGTAATATTTCTAGATGTACAGTTCCAATTGTGCTTACTGTACTGTGTACAAATATAACAAAAAAAGATCAAAGACTGATATAAATCTTACAGCATTTTGCTAGCAAAAATACATGCCAAAGTCACAATAAGCAATATTGTACCACAAATTAGAGAGCTTCAAATAATTTGCTTCTGGTTTTAATATTTTCATTCTACATTAAATTACTATAAGCTAATGTTTAAAATGCAAACAAATTGGACATCTGTAGGACAAAACTTGTTTACCCAACTGTGAAGTTTGATACCTGTTTCCAAAAACCACAATAAATGCAGAAGAAAGAGAAGTGTTTGCATGCAACACCTTCGAGTGAACAGCATTGATTCCCACCATTCAAAACAGACAAGGAAGGAAATGGATGGATAGATGGAAGGAAGGAAGGAAGGAAGGAAGGAAGAAAAAGGAAGGAAGGAAGGAAGGAAAGAAAGGAGAGAAAAGGAAGGTAGGACAAAATGAAGGAAGGACAAAAGGGAGAGAGGGACTGAGGGAGGGAGATAGGAAAGAGGGAGGGAGAGAGAGGAGGGATCGGTGTATGGAGTCCACCTTAAAATGGATCATATTAGATTTATAACTAGAGAGATTTAAAAGAATCAAAATGAAAGTAAAGCATGATTTTGTGTGTTTAAAGATTTAAGAGCCATTATCAAAAATAAGATACATTTTTTTCAAGGTACAGAAATGTAATTATGATGGCTGGGAGCCCAGCAGCCTCTCAATGGCTGCATTGATGTCGCCTCCTGTTGCTATTAGAGCCTGCAAGTTTGCTTCACGGTTTAAGAACCCCATTGCGTTGAGCTGTTCCAGTTGTTGTTGAAATCTGACTTCTGGATTTGGCAGCTGTGGAGGATTTGCTCCAGCCAGAGCCTGCACCATTTGCTGAATGAATTGCTGGTTGGGTCCAGATTCTGATGTTGGGCTCGTAGTTTCACTGGGTGCAGAGCTAGACATGGTGGGCCCAGGGGTGCCGCCTGAGCCAGTGGAACCAGGGGGACCTGCAGGGCCAGTGGGTCCTATGGGCCCAATGGGACCTATGGGGGTAAATGGGACTATGGGGCCAATAGGGCCTATGGGTGTGACTGGGCCTACAGGGCCTATAGCGGTTCCCAGCACCCCCACCCCCACACCTGGAGTGAAGCTTGGAATGAGGCCAGGAGCTTCAGTGGCTAATGTCTGTAGCCCCTGCTGGATCTGCATTAAAGCCTGCATTGCTCTTGGGTTTGACATAGCTGACAGCGTATCTGGATTCTGCATCTGCTGCAGGAAAGCCGGGAGCTGCGGACGCATCTGCTCCTGCAGCTGAGGATTTGCAGTAAACACTGGGCTATTCAGCATCATCTGTGCAGCCAAATCTGGATTCTGGCTCAGCGACTGCATCATGCTTCTCATGTAGGGCGCAGACAGCATATTCTGGATCAGCTGGGGGTTTTCAGTTATCTGTTGCAGCAAGCTCTGCATTCCTGGGGTACTGAAGATGCTGGCAACATAATTGGCTGCAGCCATGGTGTTCCCAGTAGCACTACTGGAGCTACTGCCAGACCCACTGCCACTGCTCGTGGTTGTGCCGGTGGTGGCAGAACTCTGAGTAGCCGGTGGTGGTGCCCATGGATTGGGTAGTGGATCTCGATTTTCGGTGCGGGAAGGCTGCGTACCTTCCCCGGAGGAGGAACTGCTCCCCGCGGAGGCAAACGGATTACCCCCAAACTGCTCTTGTGCAGCATTCAGCATGGGTTCTTGAATGTCAGTGTACATGCGCCGTAGGGCATTATAGCCACCTGGGATGCTTTCGAGATTGCTGAGAGCCAGGTCTTGATTTCTCATCATCTCTTGCATCATTGCTGGATTCCTGGCGATTTCGAGGGTTTGCCTCATTATATCTGGGTTGTTGAGCAGGTGACTGATTTCTGGGTTTCTCTGAATCAATTGTTGCATCTGTGGATTGGCCATAATGAGCTGCCTCATCAGATCGGGATTCGAAAGCATGCTCTGAACAAAGGGATTTTCCATGATTTGGATCATCATCTCAGGGCTGGACAGGAGCTGCTGCTGCATCTGGTTCTGGAGCTCAGAGAAGTTGGTCGAGCTCAAACCCAGGCCGCTAAGGCCTGCAAGTCCTCCCAGGCTCCCCAACCCAAACGGGTTGCTATTTGTGGAAATAGGTGTGGAGTTACTCCTGGGAGTCGACGCGGTAGTAGTATTAGTTCCCGCAGCATTACCGGGCTGTGTGGACTGGCCCTGAGGTCGGTTCTGGCTTTTGATGACAAGGTGAACAGTCAGTCCATCATGGATGCCGTGCTGAATCAAGGTATCTTGATCTTTTAAGATTTTTCCGGCAAAAATCAGCACTAGCTGATCTGTTTGGGATTTGAAGCGTTTCGAAATCGCTTCCTTAAACTGCTGGACTGAGCTATTCTCGGGCACCGCGAACTCCTCTTTCTCTTTGGGAGTCTTCACAGTGACTTTGATGATTTTGGGCTCGGCCTGAGCAGAGGCAGGGCCTTGGGCCGCAGCAGGGCCGCGGGAGGGGCGCGGGGGACCGCTGCTCTCGCCGTTCTCAGCCATGGCGGCCGCGGTGACGCAGGCAGGCAGGGAAGGCGCGGGCGGGCGAGAGAGAGAGCGAGGGAAGGAGGAAGGAAGAAGGCGCCGCCGCAGCAGGCTGGGCCGGGCCGGGCGGGGAGCGCGGAACACAGTACCTCTGTAATGAAGATTGCGGTTTTCTGATCCTGGGGTGGAGAGACTGCTCCGTGTAGGCCGCGGGCCGAGATCTCAGCGCTCAGGTCTCTGGGACTCCGCCGCCGCCGTGTGATCCCACCGCGCGCACTCCCAGCAACTCACGTAGCCGCTCCGCCCGTTCCTCCCCGCCCCTTCCCCTCCCCCAGTGCTGCGCGCACCTCCCCGCCCCCCTCTGCTGACGCGGCGCCAGGCCCAGAATGATAGATACGACTCAAGCAAAATTAAAAACTTCTGTGCTGAAAAAAAGAGGGAGAAAGAGGAGTGAGCAAGAGCGAGAGACGAGGGAGAGA